GCCCACACACAACATTAAAATGTCCCACTAAAGGTCAAAGAATAACAGGCAAGATTTCCATGGATCTCTCTCCAAAAGTTTGACTCAGTACCACAACTTGCCATGCAATTCAGCCACCATGTATTGAATAATGAAAATGAGTAGATATAAATCTTTGCTATAAATTAATGATAGAGCCCTAATGGAACACAGTGTAACATGACCATGTAAGGTTATTTTTTTTCATTAATCAGGCATTTAATGATTTGCTGGCTCAGCAAGTCTGAATCCATTAGTTAGCTTAGCTTACATGCTGGTTCTTATTTACAACCAAGCTTTGAAATAAAGCCAAAAATGGCTCTGTTTCTTGTTGGCCTCTGTACAACATCTTTGCTATCTTTGTTGGCTCGTTAGGACACTCAGAGCTGCTTTGTTTACTCAAACATGTCTAATTATTGCACTTTTTAAAACTGCAATTTGTGATAAACATTTCAATTTTAAGGTGACAGATGACAACTGCCATGAGGCAAGAGGGCAGCAATTGTCAGTTAACTCACACTAGGAAAGAAAAGAGAGATTATGTATGACTGAACTCCAGGGATGACAAAATATGCCATTAGATTTGTACATTCTTTGAAAGGAAATGTGAATTGTTAAGCCTACCATAAATCATATTGGATCAAATTCTCCTCAGGGTTGTACTAGGGTTGCACTAGGGTAACCAAGAAGAAAATAATGCACACAGTGACATAGTTGATTGTTCTATAAATTTTTATGTATTAGTAACTATAATTCTTTCTGCAGATCATAATCTCTTCATTTATATTATAATACAGCAGAGGGCTCTTACGTGCTATTATTACCTCTGCTCTTTGCACTTGCAAATTGTAAAATTAAATGTATAGTGTTACATATACAAAAGTAGAAATAATAACATTAAACACACAAGTCATACCTTGTACTATGAATAAGGATGTCCCAATCTGTACAAAGAATATATTGTTCCGTTCAATACATGACTATAGAGTTCAGCCTTACAATACTACTGTGTTTATTGTTTATAAATAGCTCCAGAGACCATACCAATTCCCTCTGTCTATAGTTTAATCCTGAAGATTCATTGCAGGTTAGTCCTTACATTTTAGCCTAGATACTGTGTTCCAATGTGCAATGTTTTGGGAGTAATTGTATTTACTCATAGGGTAGTCTTGGGAATTTGAAGTTTACAGGCTTTTCCAGAGCACATGATGCCTTTTTTAGGAAATTAATTATAGGCTGCATTCTTTTACGGCTGTGCCTGTATAGCTGTTAATTGTAAAAGGGGTTCTGGAAAAGGGAATAGTTTTAAGGAGAGTGGGTGAGAGGCAGTTCACATCTTCTCATGTGGTTTCACACTGCACCTTATGAAGGGGGTTATGCATATTTTCTTTACTTTTAATACTCCATGGTACTTTATCAACAAGTTGGCTTTCCCTTTTCCAGGGGCAATTTGTAAAATGTGTGCCTTTATTTTGGTTTTCATAGATTTTAAGATTAGAAGTTATTAGCTCATCAAGTCTCACTTGCTATATAAAACAGGCCATAGAATCTCATCCTCTTACCTCTGTATTAGCCCAATAACTTGTGTTTGGTTGAAGCTAATCCTCTAAAAAGGCCTTCAGTCTGGATTTAAAGAATATGATATGGAGAATCCACCAATACTTTTAAGACCAAACTAGTGCCCCAAAATCAAACAGAATATTTTCAGAGGTTCAAAACAACCTGTATAGGATCTACATTATATCTATTTTTTCTGTCTTTGCACTACCAGGTTCCGGAAACAAATGTCCATATATACATCAAGGAGGACTGTCTTAATGGTATTTTCTGGGCAACTTGATCAAGGAGCATTGTAAAACTAGTGAGAGAGCTTGTTCCCACAAGATCGCCAGACTAGTTTTCCACACTCAGGAAGCTAAGATAGTTGAGAGAAGAACCCAAACTTATTTTCATCTGAACCAAAGTTTCCAATGTTTGCTCATCATTACCAAATCCAAAGTGAGAATTATGAACAGATTTTTTGTGTTTGCAAAATATTAATCTGTTTACAAGCCCCTTATTTCAACTTGGGAAACAAACACAGAGATAAAAATTGGCTAGGATCCCAAATCATTAGGAGAATGATTATTCTTACAAATAAAAACAAAACAGGTCCTTTGTTACTGAATTGGGCTGACATCACTATCCCCACAGTAAGGTCATGCATGCAGCTCTTTGGTCTGTTTTCAGTGTTAGTGTTGCCATTAACTGTGGCAGAGGAAACACAGAATCTGAACTTAGGCCTTGACTAGTAAAAATTCCTTTTGTTTAGGTTTTAAATGCCCACTGTTGACCAGTGAAATGTTAAGTGGTATGGCAATGCAGTTATGTGCACTGGGCTCATTAGTGATTTAGAAGCCAGAACCATTAGGTATTGGATTGGTTTAAATTCGGTGGAATGCCCTCCTATCTATTCTTTAGTTCCTTCATGGAGGCCAGAAAAAAGAACATGTTGACGGTATCTTCTCTTTTTCACTTGTGGTGATGAAAGAAAGGGGAGGTTAAAACCAAGGCTCGTCAAACTCCAGTCCACACTGGGACATTTTCCTCTTCTATTTCTGCTGGTCTTAGGACCACGAGGCATTCTTATTTCCATGCCCACTGTGCACAGAGAAAAGATGCTGAAGAATTATCTTTCTTTTTCTGCATTCCAGGCAGAAGGAGCAAGGTTAAAGGTCCATGCAGAAGAAGAGGATAATGTATTAACTCGCCTTATGACTATCCTCTCTCCCACTGCAGCAAATCAACCTAGTACACCCAACTGTTGCAGATTTTTATTCAAGTCTACAATGCTAATACATTACACAGGGGATTTATCAATTGATTATCCCATCCCTCATGCACAAATACAGGCAGTCCCCGAGTTACGCGGATCCGACTTATGTTGGATCCGCAGTTACGAACGAGGATTTTCTCGCCCCGGAGGACTGGAGCGGCGGGACGCCTGGTCCCGCCGCCCGCCTTCTCCGGGGCGAGAAAAGCTGCTTCCCGTCTCCCTGGTCTGCTGGCGGAGCCAGCAGACCAGGGAGACGAGAGCAAAGCGGCGGAGCACTGGGGGCTGGACCCACGGCCGCTTCCAGATCAGCTGGAAGCAGCGCGGGTCCTGCCGGGTGCTCCACCGCTCTGTTCAGCATCTCCCTGGTCTGTAGACCAGGGAGACGCTGAGCAGAGCGGCGGAGGACCCGGGCCGGACCCACGGCGCTTTCAGCTGATCTGGAACAGTAATAGCAGACCAGGGAGAAAGAGCAGCCCAGGGAGACGCTGAG